AGATCGAAAGGCATATACCAGGAAGTAGTTTTAGTTTATTAACGACGTTTCGAATGTAACAAACATTCATTTTCAAGTTACAAAGAGCATTAAATATTGAAATTCTGGTGGAAATAAGTACATAATATTCGTAAATAGGATACTATAGTAAAATTTTGAATCATAAAATCACCCTGAAAATCATTTCAAAGTTGAGCCAAATCCGGTATTTAGGAAAGAGGTAGCATGCGTCCAATTCGTTGAGACGATGAGGCCAGCCATCTTTGGTCGGTTGATGTCAGGCCACTGCTTGATGACAATGCTGGCGGGTTCCCTCAGCACAAAGCGAGTGACGGTCTGGTTGTGAGATTGTCGCGTGTTGTTCACTTGCCCTCTGGGTTGGAGGTAGCTAATGAGACAGCGTCTCAGTGTCTTGGTTGTTGATCCAAAGTGTCCAATGTAGTCCAAAAGATGAAGCAAAACAACCTACAACCTTCTTTGAAGCAAAATTTATAGACCACAATGGCCTCTTGGACAACTCTTGTGGTCTATAAATTTTGCTTCAAAGAAGGTTGAAGACTTCTTCATCTTTTGGACTACATCGGACACTTTGGATCAACAACCAAGACACTGAGACGCTCTCATTAGCTACCTCTAACCCAGAGGGCAAGTGAACAACACGTGACAATCTCACAACCAGACCGTCACTCGCTTTGTGCTGAGGGAACCCGCCAGCATTGTCATCAAGCAGTGGCCTGACATCAACCGACCGAAGATGGCTGGCCTCATCGTCTCAACGAATTGGATGGCCCTCGCAAAAACTCGGGAGTTGTCCAAGAGGCCGTTGTGGTCTATAAATTTTGCTTCAAAGAAGGTTGTAGACTTCTTCATCTTTTGGACTACATCGGACACTTTGGAAGTTTGGATCAACAACCAAGACACCGAGACGCTGTCTCATTAGCTACCTCCAACCCAGAGGCAAGTGAACAACACGCGACAATCTCACAACCAGACCGTCACTCACTTTGTGCTGAGGGAACCCACCAGCATTGTCATCAAGCAGTGGCCTGACATCAACTGACCGAAGATGGCTGGCCTCATCGTTTCAATGAATTGGACGCATGCTACCTCTTTCCTAAATACCGGATTTGGCTGAACTTTGAAATGATTTTCAGGGTGATTTTATGATTCAAAATTTTACTATAGTATCCTATTTACGAATATTATGTACTTATTTCCACCAGAATTTCAATATTTAATGCTCTTTGTATCTTGAAAATGAATGTTTGTTACATTCAAAACGTCGTTAATAAACTAAAACTACTTCCTGATATATGCCTTTCGATCTACCGACGTCATCTGAAGAATTGTCCGACTCTTTGATAATTTAAATCAACTTATATATATATAATTGTATATATATATATATAATATATATACAAGGTATATATATACAAGGTGGTCGGTATATATATACAAATAAAAGACTGATTTTTTTATATGTATATGTGGATAATTTTTGAGATTGGTAGATTAAAGTAGACATCCATGTAGGGAAGGTAAAACATAAGAAGAACTGTAACTTTTATCTACTGTTTCTCACCTGTACTAGTTTGGTTAGGTTAATTGCAATAAAGTTCCATTGATATGTTTTGAAAATGTCAGCTTGTGACAATTTTTTCGATTTTGCCTTCGTTTGCGAGTTATACAGAGAAACGACCAGCATTTCTTAGGCCAATTTTTAAACTTTCATTGACCAAGAGCCATATACATAAAGCTGTATAACTCGCAAACGAAGGCAAAATTGACAAAATTGTCACAAGCTAAACATCACCGTTGGGAAGTTAGGTTTCTCTATGCAAAGTTTCGTTCAAATCTGTTCAGTATTTTAGAAGAAATCTCTGGTACACTGCAAATTTAAACACAATTTCACTTTTTAAATCACGAATGAGGAAAAAGAGAAAAATACTCACCAACGAAGGCAAAACGTAAAAAAATTGTCCCGAGCTTAACATCACACCATTGGGAGGTTAGGTTTCTATATGCAAAGTTTCGTTCAAATCTGTTCAGTATTTGAGAAGAAAACTCTGGTACACTGCAAATTTCGGAACATTTCGTCATAGAACTCACGAATGTAGGCGATATTAAAAAAAATTGTCACGCGCTTGACATCACCGTTAGGCCATAATGAATATGTGAACCAAGTTTCATCAAGCTATGTTCAGTACTTTGGGAGATATTTCAGGTACAGAGTCCGGCCGCGAGACCGGCCTTAAATTTGTCTGAGACGTATGAGTCTCTTGAAGCCATTCATATTTTATTATTGTTTGTTGTTACTCGTTAGTCTATATAATTAACTTTCAAAGTTGCAAAAAATGAGAACTGAAAATTTAAAAAAAAGTGCAAGTGCCTGTATTTTTGTTTTCAATGGGTTTGCACCACACAAACCCATTTCTCCAGCCGGGAGGATGTCGGGAACGCAACTTATTCCTGACATTGACATTTGGGTTTGTACTATTTGCCAAAGTCAGTCCTTCATTAGAAGCAGCCAATCTCAAGCCATGTGGATTGTCGCCTTCTACTATTCAGTTTTGTAATTAATTTCCAACCGAATTGTGATCTATGAATAATTATTCATAACATTGCCGACTGTTAGAACCTGAGTTAACACGTTAGATATCTACTCAACGTGATGCAGATATTTGTTCGTGTGTGATAGCGTTGCCGGGCATTCATCTTTAAACAACTTTAGGAGCACGGCGCAGGCTGGCGCACGGTGCACTTTTTTACCGGCATATTACGGCGCATGGCGCAAATTGATGCAATGATAATCAAAATTCCCGCGCACCTGGCACATCTTCCTGACAGTGGCATTTGCATAGTATATTTTGGCGGGAACTCATCGGAACTGATTTCAGGACAAGCTTTACTGCATCCTGATCCATCCAACGTACCGGAAACCTTAATTTTTTCTAAATTGTTGGCCGAAGACTGACAAATATATTAAATGCAAGAATTTCAATCTAAATGTGTCGGCAAGATCTTCTGAAGGGGTAAATTTTGCTATTGAAGCGCCGCCAAAGATCTTGCAATCAGTGTGGAATTCTAGAGGGATAATAAATTAACTAGTACACATAGCATATTGGAAAGCAGCCCAAGCAGGACCTGAAAGCTTGGAAAGGCCAGGAACTTTACACTTTCAGTCCATTATTTACATATCCATATCCTATCCCTTTCCAGAATTCCAGCTGTGATTGGTTGATAGGATTGTGATTTTAGCCCCTTTCAGCTTTCCAGCTGTAGTTGGATAATGGAATTGTAATGTTATCTGCTTTCTAGCTGTGATTGGTTGATGGGGATGCTTTCATGCTGTGATTGTTTGTGCCCATAAGCCCCACCCCCAAGTATGGTATATGTACTACAGTACGAGTTAACTAAATACTTGACTGAAACTTGATCATTACAAACAAAAGGCCTGGAAAATGTAAAAAATCCATTAAATAAAAGACAAATAAAAAAGATCTATCAAACAAGTGAGTGAAGTGACATCTAAATAATTCTTTTACAAATTTAATGTACTAGTATAAAATCGAAACATTTTGTCCACAGTCCACTTTTGATTTACCTTTTCATTTGTAGTCACTTAAGTCATTCACCTGGAAGAGCACTGTGGGAATGGGAAAGCTTTTCAGCTTGGGTGGAAAGCTTTTTAATAAGTGAACTTCCATTCTTAGAATTGCAGCCTGCTTGCAATATTCATCCACTCTCTGCACAGTGGAGAATACTGGAGATGATATTGATGCTCCATCTCCTTGTTCTTTTTTCTTATGTTTAGCTTTGGGCTTAGGCATTCTGCTGGTTTTTTGTACAAACAAGGTATAGTGACTTGTACACAGGAGATCTAAAAACATGTCATTTGACTGGATCTTTTACTCCAACTAGGTGCCCGTCTCAAAATTAAGACTATTTTCTATTTATTCACCGACTGTCAAAAAGGTACTCACTCTTTCATATGCACACGTCTGAGTTCGCCTTCCGAAGACCACAACTGCCCTGGATGTAATGGACCATCATGATTCCTGCCTTCCGGAACGTAGCCTTCAACACTTCAAGGCTTCAAGCCGTCCGTATCTAGGCCGTGGGTCAAACCAGCCCTCGGTCGAACGGCCACTTGTTGCAGGACGATAAATTTTGGAACAGGACTTTGCTATCTGAAACCTAACCTCAGATGCGGACTGCGGTGAATGTAAAATTACGTAATTTAACGATGCCCGGAAGTCAGATTCGATCTGCGGCCTGGTGGTGCACGGCAGGTGGTGGTCAAGGCTGAAGGAGGACAAAGCCGAGTGGTGCACGGCTGATTGGTGGATATCCGGAGAAATCCAAGGCGTTCGATTCAGGGCTTATTGGTGCACAAAATTAGTGGTGCACGGCTGCGCTCCCCACGTCTGTAGTTGACCAAAGCTGAAACTGGAATCCGGAATCCCATCCCAAAAATTGTTCATTATGTTGAAACAGCAGATACGGACCGTCGTGAAAGACGGATCAAGATTATATTTTTTTTATAGTTGGTTTTGGAGGCTTCCAGTGCTTGTGCAGTGTGCACTGCCCAGCCTGGTCTCTGTCACTCCTTTGATGAAAGACTATGCACCGTGCAAAGGGGCTCAATGGCCCAAGTACCTTATATGCAGCATGCACCTAACATCCAGACAATTGAGTTGGTCATGTAGCAAGGTTTTCAATATGCAGCATGCCTTATAATAACGTGCACAGTGTGTCAAGCTTTATGCTGTAATAAAGCACCCTAACAGCATGCTAAATTGCACAAGTATGCCAAAAAATTAAACAAAACAGAACAAGAAAGAAGAAGAAGAAAAGAAAGAAAAACAAGAAAAAAATATATATATATACATTTTTTTAAGTTCTTTGATTTGAAGGAGAAAGCACCCCCAGTTTGGAGCTACATCAGAGAGGCAGCTCCACTTTCCAGCAAATATTGCTGCAAGCATGAAAAGATTTGNATTCCAAACCGGGCACGGTGGGCACCCACGCCTGCATGGCCCAGACGAAGGCGGGCCACCGCACACTGCAGAGATCTAGTCAGAGAGCTATAATCTATATAAGTGATGCATCCATCAAGGTTGTATCTGAATTGGCCACAACCAGTAGCAGCAACCTGAGTCTGCCAGTATGCACGCCAGTGGCTGTTAAAGGCCTGAGCTAGCTGCCCATATGACTCATCAAAAGAAAGTATTGAACAAGAGGACCTGTCACTGCTGTGCGCCAGGCTAGCAATCCGATCAGCCACCTCATTTCCAAAAACTCCACTATGACCCTTCACCCAGCAGAAAGCAACCGAGTTTAGCCCCCTCTGAAGAAGAAGGGCATGAATCCTATATACTATTGCAGCATAGGTAGGATGGCGGGTATTAAGGATCAGGTGCAGGGATGACTTTGAGTCAGTGAAGATCACTACCTGTCGGTTTTGTAGCTCAACTAGACTGAGTGTCATCTGCAGTGCCTTGTATATGGCAAACAATTCTGCGCCCATCACTGAATGGCTTGGTGACAACAGCCAACCAGTTGCAGCTGAAAGCAGGGGGATGTATACACCTGCAGAAACAGACCCGGCCTCAGAACGAGATCCATCGGTGTAGATTGGGATGTGTCCAGAGTAAAATTGGTCCATCCTGTATGCTAGTATAGTTGAGAAAGAGCTATCACGATGAGGCAAGGCCAGGCCACCACTGGGATCAAGACATATCTGATTATGTAAGGAGATCCAGGGAGGAATTGGTGAGAAGGCTGGGGTCCTCACTTGGCGAGGCATAGCAATACCCATGGACTGAAACAAGTAACGAGCATGTGTTGCAAATGGATGCAAGTTGTTGATCTGAGCACTAATGGGGTCAATTCCCAGGAGCCCAGGCAATATTGCTTGTGTTGGAGAATATGCATAGCGAAGACACCTTTTCATAAATAGGAAGCGGAAGCGGAGGTGAAGCGGGGACAGGAAGCTTTCGGCCTCTAGGGACCTAATTGGAGAAGTGCGACGAGCTCCCAGGATGAGCCGTAGAGCGCTGTTCTGTACACTTTCAAGTGATTTGATGCTGGAAGAGGGCAGCTCACCAATGACACTGCTGCCATACTCTAGCTTACTGCGAATAAATGCCACATAGACATTCCGCAGTAGGTGACTTGATGCACCCCACCTCAGAGCACTCAAGGCCCGAAGGACGTTCATTCTTCTCTGACAGTCTGCACGCACCACAGAGACGTGTGCCCCAAAATTCAATTTGGGGCAATCAAATATCACCCCCAATATGTCAGCAATTGCTTGACAGTCGCCTTCAGCGACTAATTATCTAACAAACGTCACCCTCAGTGACGCTTTAAAGGATCGTACGTCTTGGCATACGTAGCTTGCGATTCTACGCGGTGGACCGCGATAGCTCTACACGAGTCAGTTGTAGGATAGACCTCCGAGCGTCCACAGCTAAGTCCTACGCTCAGGCCATCGATAGCTTCTCTATCGAGCAGGCCGATTCTTTCCCTCTCTGAGATTGTATCCTCATAGTGCCTATTGTAAAGTC